GCTTGTCCGCGCTGTGCGCGATGTCTTGGCACTGTGCGCGCAATGTGCGTGGCTGTGATCAGGCCTTTGTCCGTGGTAGATAGCGTGACATAATGGTCACTTTACCCAAATATATAGAATAGCTAATTGTGAACGTACCCCCTTCCACACCAACCAAATTCCTTTAATTTGCGCATTTATGTATTTTATGAGTCATAATAATCACGTAGAGACCAAAAAATAATATTGCACGACAGTTGTAGGCTGACCACGACCATTTGAATACCTCTGCCGGCTGTTTATGATTGTCCCACGGCTGAACGACGCATCCTGCATTGCAATTCAGCGCCTCTATCTTCGAGTTTGCTATCCAACGGCAATGTCCCTTAAGAAATATGAGTACATACTGCATATTACTTTATATATTCTGCTTCAACTTGCGCACACCAAAGTTTCAGTGCGCACACCAAAGTCTTTCCGCGCAAGTATAACTTTCAATTAAGGTATTGAATAATAGTCAAAAACATCTACGAGTATTCTTGGGCAATGTCATTAAATAGTAAAAGAGTTTTCGAATTACAAAAGTGTACGCGGGGATTTACTCCCCACTCGGACCGCCATAGATGTTTATCAAGGCCACCCATCGCACTGGAATCGTGAGGATAGAGTTGCGACTGAGGAGGAACTTGAGGTAAGACACAAGCACTGCGCAAGAATCTTCGCAACTGACTACAGCGTTCGATCGCGGACAGCGCGGCGCCAGTTTTATTCAAGTCAAGATATCGACACCTGTAATCTTTGCAAGTTCCGAAAGGCTTAACCCTCGTCCTCGGCCACGTCCCAAAGGAAAAGAGAGTAGTATTTGAAAGTAAGCTTGGACATTCCAAGGACATTCAAGACGTCACTACAACAGCAGTTATATCAGAAACCTTAAACACTACCCATAATGATGCACAGAACATTCCCTCATCGTGAAATATGTTCAAGTACATAGTATATATATATATATGATCTGCAGAAAACTGTTTACGAGTGACTACACACAAGTCCCTGCTATAATCTTATTATACAGTTCAGATAAGCGCTCATGATGATACATAAGGGCCGGGTCTCGGCTAACAAGTTTTGCGAGTGAGTCACACACTGCTTCCCTCCACGCTCGTACCTCGGACACACCGCGGACATACCTTCGAGACACCTCGCTCATAAGACTGTCCGTGGTAGTAATAACCGCGCACACGCCCGGTCGGCCACGCACATCACGGACAGATGCACGGACTTTTCCTGATGCCCGTTATTATTAAGTACAATATGTATTAAGATCCAGGCGTTCTCATCACCACAAACTGGTAGTCAATCAGAGTGTGACACAGGCTTCTGTGGCCGGAAAACATACCTCACAATGACTCACACGTAACATATAACTTAACAGGACAATTTTCGGCCGGACTTGGCAGTTAAATGTCCGCCGTGTGTACGACGCACACCATGTTGCTCCATCCCAATTCGCGGGCCGCCGTCATTCCTAATTGTGTCCCTCATAAGATGATGTGGCTCGATGTCCACTCTCATCGTCTAGGAATGCTTGCTTTTGTCTTGTCAACGTTTCTACCGCTATATCTGCGGTGCGCTGCAATCCAGTTCCTCTTGTAGTTCGTTCCTTTTATGACGCTCTGATCCGCGCACCTATATTTCATACAATGCCGTCCTTACCGCTCCGAGTCACAGTATGCTGCGTGATGCGTATACTATGAGCCTATGCACTGAATTGTACTATGTACTATGTAGCCTGGACACCACAAGTTGTATGCGTCCCTCGTTGGTGTTGATCCAAAGATGAGTCTGCGCCTCCTTCCCTCATCTGCACGCCCGCACCGTGTGCACCTTCTTCTTACGTTGCTCCATCGCAATTCACGAGCTGCTGTCACTCCGCGCAATGTTCCTCGTCGGATGATGTGGCTTGACTCCTACCTGTCGCCAACTATGCTTGACTTCGTCTCGACAACGTTTCCTCCGTGATGATCGATGAATATATGAACCTGTGCACCAGAATGCACTACACGCTGCGTAGCCTGCATGTCGCAAGTCCTCTTCCAGTCATTGTCAGTCTATGCGTCCTTCTTCCCAATTGAAATAGCTTCGAAAACAATGTATGCTGAATCGTCCTCCCTCTACTCCCCATTTCACGCATCGTACTTCGTTTTTCGGCCCATCTCCGTGTACATGAAGAGGGACCTCCGCATGCACAAAACAACACATATAGTACTGTTTCCCTCGCCTTCTCTCTCTCGTTAACATCTGCATTCATACCATGCGGCCATCTATCTCGTAGCGCACTCTCGCAGGTATGTTTATTTTCTTAACAAGATCCTGAATTACTAAAACGAATCCTACAGTGGATATCCTGTCACGCAATTTTGACGGATATGTTGTAGATGGGACAACGGATGAGGGCGGAGACGATGAGGGCGGAAATGGTGCGTCTAAGTTACTGATCTCCATCATCAATTCCGTTCACCGAGTTGTAGGATGTCAAATTCACCTTGCTTCGTTGTTTCATTGTATTGAGGTGGATGGAAATTGCCGATTTAGTGAATTGTAGGCTGGGTTGATAATTCTAATCAATCTGCTGTAAAGTACAGCATGTACAATTATTTCTGTAGTTAATTTATGTACTAAGGAATGGTAACTTTCACAACGGGCAAAATCTGCCTCGTTTGAATCGAACGAGGTTATCTCGGTTTACACGTCGTTGACAAGGCGGTTTGACTTTTCGGCACGACTTAGCCGAGGATATTTTGAGCCTTCGGCCAACCTTCGGCTTGCCTTCAGTCACGAAACGAGAACCTTTAGAGTCTATTAAATATAGAGAACAATGGAAAAGATAAAAAGATTGCATCGCAAATTGATGAGAATTAAACACGCTCGTGGGAACTCTCCTCCGTTCCCCTTGAATTCCCTCTCCTCTCTCTCAGTTGCCAGTGCCTCTAGTCATTTGTAACTGTAATTCTTGCAGCAAAAAATCTTTCACTCTCCATGAGATCCAATATTCTGGTCAGCAAGTTGGCTCATTCAGTCTCGTTTACAGTACTAGCCATAGCAGAAGAAGAAAGAAATGACAAAGACAATATATTTTACACTCTGACCGTATATCTAAATGTCTCAAGGAGAGGTTGTAGCCTGCTCTCTTCGAAGTCCCATTGTTCGACCAAAAAGGAAGTTTACCTGGGCCCGTTTATGCATATATATGTTTGCAATAGTGATCACCTGCCACTATATGTACCACGCAGCATGCTCAATTAATTAACCGATGTCGAGCAATTCAAACCTTATTGCCTCAATAGTAATACAAAGTTTGCGGGCTTTCAAAGCTGCCGTATTGTGCCGGAATGTCCAACCGACCTAACAACCGAGATAACCTCGATCAAATTCAAACGAGGCAAGATTTGCCCGTGGTGTTTGACTTGCATAGCCTCGGGACGTGGACGTGGGGATTGGAGTGACCAAGAGCGACGTTGTGCTAAAAATATGAAATCCTCGTGGCCACTGACACGCACAGCCCGTGTTGTGGCCGCGGTGCCCACAGACGCACCCATCTCTTCTCATCTTCGACTACCTTCATCTGTGCTCTTCACCTCTACTACACATTGCGGAACAACAACACGATGAAATTCAAATCATTCCGGAAGTGGTGGCGTCGCATCGTTAACCGCAATGCGTCTACTGAGGGAAATGTGGGCGCTGGACAAGCCACCGAGGAGAGGTCTGCGGTGAGTCAATGGATTCGAATCTTGTATATCGGGTCCATCAGCTGAAGAGGACGTGTTTTAAGGACGTTTCGGCAGCTGCGAATGCGCCTGTTCCGTCCAGTATCGCGCCACGGGAACCATCATCCTTACAGGTAAGAGTACGTGTTGTACCCTCGAAAAATCTCGATATTAAATAATGGTCAAAGGATGCAGGCAGTACACACACGGTCCCAATACACGGAAATGATGTGAACATGCCGACAACCAGACACCATATGTTTCCAAATGCTAAGAATTTCGCCATCACCGGCGGGCAATTTGATATCGTCGAAAATCAGAATATATACATGGGAAATGAGAGACCTATACCGAATCCTGAACGAGGTACGCATCCGTAAACTGTACTACCCAAACAATGAATTTACTACAGCTCTAATGTATGCAGCCGGCTTCAAGCTTTTGCAAGAGAGAGTAGCACCTTCCGCATTCCATAATTCCGCCCAACGAAATGATCCTCCCAGATGTCATCCAAACACCCGTGTTCAGATTCTACAGGACATGTTCGACTGGATCCTTCAAAGCGGTGATCGCGAGACATGGTTACTGTGGCTGAATGGTGCCGCGGGAGCGGGAAAATCCGCCATCATGCAGACGCTTGCGGAACGATGTGTCAAGGAGCTCATCGCTATCGCTAGCTTCTTCTTTTTCCGAGGTGACGCCACTCGCAACTCGATTGGCCCTCTTATAGCGACCCTTGCATATCAGCTCATACTGTCCATCCCCGAAACGGAAGAGAAAATTCTTCGGACCATTGAATGCAATCCACTCATCTTTGATCAGTCCCTCGAGTCTCAGCTTCATCAGCTTCTTATCAATCCCATTCTTTCCTTGCCACCAAATTTGCATTGCACATTCGCCATCTTCATAGATGGTCTTGATGAATGCGAGGGTGAAAACAATCAAGCTATGCTTATCAAACTCCTCGGCACTGTTGAGTATCAATCCCTATCTAATCTAAGATCGGTTAGCTCAGTGGTAGAGCCCCAGCATATATAGCCGGAGGTCATTGGTTCAATTCCACTCCTGGTCATTTTCTTTTCCAAGGTCATCTCGTCGGTGATTCTAAACATGGTAGCAGCAACTACGTTGGCTTGAGTTTGTCTCTAACCGGGCAACTTGAGACTTGGAACCCTCTTAGGGGTCTGTGTTTCTTAGCATAGATTAGATAGTGATTCAGGGGGTGTGTTGAGTATCAATCCCTATCTAATCTAAGATCGGTTAGCTCAGTGGTAGAGCCCCAGCATATATAGCCGGAGGTCATTGGTTCAATTCCACTCCTGGTCATTTGTTGAGAATAAAGACGGGGAGAGGATGATAATGATAGTATTGGGGGAAGGAACGATACAGAAGATGTGTCTACAGGGCGCAGAAGGCGCCCACTTGTACATATGTACAAACAAACTCATAGTGGCGCGCACGAAGCTCACGTCACAAGATGAGAAATCTCAACACACCCCCTGAGCGAGATGCGCGATAACAAGGAGTATGAGAGTGAAAGTTGAAGGAAAAAATAATAAAAAGTGAATAATAATTGAATGAAAGAAGTAAAGTTAAGAAGAATAAGGCTGCTGGCCTTCAAGTCCACCCCCAGATGAAAAACAATGGTCACGGTCATGAGAGGTTCGATAACAGACAGAACATTGAATACCAAGAGGATTTTTGGGATGTTTACGAATTAATGTAGAAGAATTGGGAGGAAGAGAAATAGAAGATGTAGTAGAAGGAGTAGACGGAGCTGAAGAAGAAATAGAAAGAAGGCTCGCCTGATCAAGATCTTCACTTTGAAGATGAAAACATTCAATAGAAATACGAGAAATGACACGGTTCAAAAGAACATCAGGAGGAAGAGGAGGACCATCAGGATTATTGGTGATTGAATCAACGTGATTTTGAGCAAGTTGGATGAGCATTTGCTTGAAGGTAGGCCAGGTAGAGGTGGATGGAAGGTTGTGGATAAGGAGGTGAACAATATCAGACTCAGTGAAGGAAACACCCATAGCTATGAAGCGGGAACGAGCAGTTTTGAATTCACCAATATACTCATCAAAATGGTAGTGGTCCTTGAGTTTGACTTTGGTGATATGAGTTCGGAGGTCGAATTGAGCAGTTACATCAACACGCCCATAGAGAGTGGTGAGGGTAGTCCATACGTCACGAGCAGTAGTGGTGTTGGTGCAAGGAATAATGGTGGAGACAATAGGCGAGATACGACGTTCAATGATGTCCTTGGCTTGAGCATCCTTCCGCCACCATTCTGCATACTTGTTCAAGAGAGAAGCAGAAGAAGCAGCAGTGGCAATTGGCATAGGAATTTTGCGGAAGGGAGCGAGAATGTCATCAGAACCATCCACGTAGCCCCAGAAACCTTCACCTTGCAAGGTCCGAGTAACTGATCGCTTCCAGGAAGGGAAATTGGAGGCGCCCTCGAGGATAGGAATGTGATCGAGATTGAGGTAGTGACCGGACATGATGGGGAATGGAAAAGGAGTGGTGAGAAAGAATAAACACTGCTATAATAAAAATGGACAAAGTCCAAGAAGAAGCACAAGCTCAGTGCAGGAGGCCTAAGAAGGCTCGGTATTGACCGATGACGATACTGCTGCAGGCAGTAGATTGATGATGATGATGATGATGATGATGATGATGACGACGATGATGACCGGATGAAGACTAAAGAGGAGATATGTGTCCAGGACACGGCCGTCGCCGTTCGGAGCACAGTAACTCGAAAGGTGTGCGCGGCGGACAGCACACGCAACACGGATATAGGGAAATGCCTGAGGATGGTCGGCGACGAAGGAGGGATCTGAAAAGGTCCGAAATGTGCAAGGCGGCACCAGGCGGCACAAGCGAGAAGCCGTGACAGCGGCGTGAGAGGCGCGAAAGGGCGCGAGATGTCGGAAAGCGCGATTGGCGCTGGGGTATGGCCGCAGGAGGCGCGAGAGGCGCACGCGGCACTTGAAAGATGTCGAAAGGCGCGAGAGGCGCCGGAAGGAGAGGCAATAAGCGCCGGGAGGACGCGCCAAGGAAAGCTTGAGGCCGAATAAGCTTCGTTGCCGTGAACGGCGGCGACGGAGGGTTTTGCGGAATAAACTTTAAGGTTTTGATGGCGCGGAAACGCGGCAGAGGGAGCGAGGACGAAAGTGAAAGAGTATTCGGAGCGGATTAGGCTTCGGGGCCCATAACCTGTTGAGAATAAAGACGGGGAGAGGATGATAATGATAGTATTGGGGGAAGGAACGATACAGAAGATGTGTCTACAGGGCGCAGAAGGCGCCCACTCGTACATATGTACAAACAAACTCATAGTGGCGCGCACGAAGCTCACGTCACAAGATGAGAAATCTCAACAGGCACCATTCGACAGAGCAATACTAATTTCCCCATTATATTCCTTCTCGGAAGTCGTCGTGAAGTGCAAATTGAAGCTGCATTCATACAAAATCCAGTCTCCCAAGTTCTTCGCACTATTCCACTTGATAAATCTGACATTGAAAAGACATCAAATGACATCCGACAATTCCTGAATGATAAGTTTGCAGAAATCAGAACTGGACATCGATGCCGAGATCGTCTTCCACGTGACTGGCCACTGGTTTCAAGGGTTGAAGAAATTGTCGCAAAATCATCTGGCCAGTTTATTTATGCTTCTGTTGTAATCAACTATGTGTCACTGCCCCGCTACAATCCTGCTCATCAACTTGAGATCATTCACAACATCAGCCTGCGAGGATCACAATCTCTGAATCCATTCGAACATCTGGATCGACTTTATCAGCATATATTTTCTCGTGTTGAAAATCTGGACAAAGTCCTTGATATCCTTGCATATCGTATAATCACTGGGGTTTTCTATGTAAATCCTCTTGAACCAGACCCTGCTATTCTGGAAGATGTATTGGCTGATATGATCCCAGTTCTTAATCTTACTCCAGATAAAGATGGTTATATTAAAATCGACTTTCTTCACGCCTCCCTCCCTGATTTTCTCCAAGACCAACTCCGCTCTCAGAAGTACTTCCTTGACCTCAATAAATACCCCACCAAACTTTTGTGCATGTTTCTGGAAAGGCCACTCCCAGACCCACTCCTGCCAAACTACAATTGGGAAAATGTAGCACAGCAAGAATGCTGGCGATTGTTAGCAATCAGAATGTTTCTTAAAGAGGTCGAGGCATCTGACCAGCTGCAAAATGCAGTCATGCACTTTAACTCCAGATTCCACTGCATAAAAATTGATCAGGATGAAACCAATGCTAAGGTTCGTGTCAAAATTCTAGAGTTTTTAAAAAAGCTGGTATGATAAATCACAATTCATATTTGTATTCCTATACTAATATTTCATTAGAATTTTGGTGATCAAGGCCAAGCATATCAACATGTTCTGGACATGTTTGCTGAGGGGCATGCCAAATTCTGGCCCTCCCACAGTGATCATATCAAAAATGCAGTGAGGGAATCTCCAGACCTCTGTGCCAGGATCTGTCAGTTTTTTCCAAAGCTTGCACAACAACCATCTTTGGATTTCAGGTGGGTTTATCAAGTTAGAGTGAAGAATTATATATTCAAATATTTTTATATTTAGTGAAGAGGGAAAAAAACTCTGGACAACAAGAATTACTAGTCTTTACGAGTATTGTTCTGTATCGCAATTGAGCAATTTATGGCTATAATTCTATGGATAACTTTAGTTTCTGCAAGACCAAATAATACATAAAGTACTGTTAGACAGAATGTGAATGAGAGTTCAGGTCCATTGGTGAGGTCCAGTTGGAGGTTTGGAGTTGCAGTGTGTGAGCTCAAGGTGATAAGACCATAGATTTTTGGCCCTGCAGTTTTGGATTTGCTATGGTCTTATAAATTCAGGAGGGAGCAGGACTTTCAATAGAGGCTTTTTGCTTGTAGATTTCACTAGTTGTCCCAGAGCTGTCCATGAGAATCTATATCCAATTAGTGTAGAGTTTACACACTTTTAATATATGGGTGAGAGGAGTGCATCAACATCTGAAGTTCAAAGAAAACAGTTTGCTGGACATTGAAGTGAGACTCGGAGGGGTTGAGGGGAAGGATCCAAGTTAGGCAAGACTACAACAACTTGTTGGAACTCCGCATTATTGAGAGGTGCAGATGATGTACAGGTACTAGGCATATACAGCTCTCAGAAGAGTTAGGAACACCTTACCGCTGATAGAAAGGTACCCATTATTGCAGATACAGGCCTGTAGCAAATGACGTCAAATCTGAGCATAGGTATATTAAGGACATTTAAACAGTACTAAACTGCCTGAGAGTGATGAGCATTGAGAAAAGATGAAAATACATACATATGCATGACTCTAAATGTATTGCATCACCTTTCTATACTTTTATTCCACAAGACAAAAACCCAGTCCCTCAATTTATCCATATCTTCACGTAACATCATGTACATTTCTCTCTCAGCCCCCACCCTTTCGGAATGTCACTATCCCTATTCGGATTCCTTAATGCTATCGAAGCGGCGGTTAAAGAGCTGAATGGACAAACAAGATAGGTGAAGATGACATGAACATGCCAAATGATACTTGATGAGGCAACATACGGTAATAAGCCAAGAAGGGGCGGAGAGGTCATGGTACTTGGGAGCGAGTCTTCTGTTTGTTTTCAGGACAAGGAAGCTGGAAAGAGATAAGAGACTATGTTGGAGAGATCCAAAGTCGGTCAGACCCGGATGAGGTGATGAGGAGGGATGAGTGGGGACATGACTCCATCAACATTGTCCCGAGTTCTTCGTCCAAGAGTTAATGGCGGTCCATTTGATGGGCATCGCAAGAGTAGATGTGGGTCGTGAAGTCGTGAGATCGAGGTGCGCTACGGTGCGCCGAAGGGTGTGCGAGAATGAGCGAAGCGATACGAAGGGTGAGATAAACTGGGAATCCAATTCACTGCCTATCTACAGTGTAGATACAGGCTTTTTATACTAAAAATTCGAGTCATTTTTGTAGAAAGAAATAGAATACTGAGGAATTTTGGGGAGAGGAAGGAATATGAGAGAATGGGCTAGAAGAAATACATACGAAGGAAAACGGGAAGGAGGATGTCATATTTGAAATATAATTACTTTTCGGAGGTAAGCGCCCGCTGGGCGCGTGCTATTATTAGACGTCGGGACGGACGCGCATGCTTGAATGAATTGAAGCGTTTGCTGAGTCGATTGCGATGCCGTGGTGCGGATGAACGTAGGCGCAGTCGGACGGTCGATGAACGGAGATTCCGTGCTCAATCGGAACGACATTTCCACAATG